TTACATTGTGAAATTTCTAATTTCCAAAAATACCATTAGGAAAAAAAGAGGAATACTACTTAATATTATTTAAAAAAAATTTTTTTTTAGTTGTCAATGGACCTTTATTTTATTTTATTTATCTATCTATATGTGGTGCTGAGAATTGAACCCAGTGCCTCACACATGCTAGGCAAGCGCTCTACCATTGAGCTATGACCCTAGCCCTAATACTGTTTATTGTCTCCAAATATCTTTTACCTGATGTCAACTATATGATTATGCACTGTATGTGATCGTTTGTTATGTCCAAGAATCTTGACAGGAATACTTATTGTAAAATAAACATTTCAAATAAAACAAAAATTTCAATGAAATAAAAAAAATTACTTCTTAGTTTATTGAATTACAGGAATATGGTAATTAACAATAGTATAAACGAAAAATACCCTTATTTAGGTTTCGGAAGAGTCTGAACCAATAGTTTTAAAATGTGAAAATACTGCCTTAATTATTTATATAGTTTCGTGTTTATTTTACATACATAATCACTTCTTCCTCAACTTTAAGAGTGATGACCATTTAATGAAGAAGTTTCAGAAAGAAGAGTGAGGCGAAGTCTGAAAATACAATAAACAGATGCTTCAAGGAGAAAGTGACAGACAGTAGGGCAGAAATGTGACAGAAGTCAGAGGAGGTGACAGCAGATGGCAGAAGTGGCAGACATGAATGGTGACAGAACAGGCAACAAGCAGCAAACACAAACGTGGTGAAAAGCAATGTGAAAAAGTGGAGGAGGGATAAAACTTGTTTGCATAATGGTACAACATTCAGTGAWGCATTAATAAAAAGGAAATGCAAGTACATATCCATCTACGACAAGAGGGAAATTATTAAATCTAGTATAAACTCTAAATCTTCTATTTTTTTTTAGTAAGATGCTTCTATTAATTCATGTGTTCACTAATACCCAGAAAAGACAGGAAGAAGTGAGAGCACAAGAAGTAGATTTCAATACTCATATCCCTGTCCCAACAGGACAACAAATATAACTGTCCTGATCTCTTCTGGGTGTCTAGGAAACCTGCCACAAGTGAACAGGTGTTTGGGTTTGATGGGCTCAGTGACTCAGTTCAGAGGTTGTGATGTTTACTGGTAGATATAGCAATTACTTCCTCAAACTCAGTGAATCCTGACACAGCAGTTCTGCTTCATGCTAGTTCCTTGAACTGTGATGAAAGCTTTCATCACCCAAAGGTGAACTGCTGCTTCTTAGCCATGAAAGCCATCTGAGGCCCTTGGGATGCCTGCAGCCAGCTGAAGAGACAGAAAAGAAAGACAGAGCTGAGACAGATTATCTTTAGGGGAAGGAAAGAAAAGAAAACTATAGGAGTGGGAAGAAAGTGGTAGGGGGGACTGGGCAGGAGAGTAGTTCTWTGTGTGGTGAATGAGACAAACGCACCACCAAAGGCCAAAGGGCTGATCAGTGGATTCTTCACTCTGAAACTCTTTGTCATGTGCCTTAAAAATACACACTTATCTAGGYGGTTCACAGAGAACAGGACTAGATGATTCTGAAGTCATAATCCTCTCATTTAAATATAAAACTTGCCCATGTGKTTTTTCCCTTATTGTTCTCCAGTTCCCCCTGCTTATTTACCTCTTTTACACCCTGTTCTGTTTCTATCCCTGAACCTTTTGTTGGTGCCCCATGGAACCTGTGCTTTAAGATCAACAAACTTTCTCATCTTTGATACCATTTACTACTGAACACTACCTTTCATTCGCTGAAGAACTCTGGTGCCTAAYTTATAATCTTCAGCTCTCTGAACTCTAGATATTATATACTATATACTTGGGTTGTAACCCATCCAACATCCAAGTCTCACCACTTTATTTTCTAGACCCTCCCCCCCTTTTTTCCCTTTACCTCACTTGGGTCACTTACTTCCACTATCACATTCATGGTATTTAATACCCGTTCTCTCTGAAATGACTAATTCAACTCTCCCCTCCTCAGATAAGGACTCCTACCCTAGTAGTTTTTTTTTTATTCAACAGCTTAACCAATGGCTGTTACCTGACTTCAAAGAGATCTCTGCCTTCTCTCTTATATATCAACACACTCCCTATCTTTTTTCTTTTTCTGGGGTACCAGGGATAGAACCCAGGGGCGTTCAACCACTGAGCCACATCCCCAACCCTATTTTGTATTTTATTTAAAGACAAACTCTCACTGAGTTGCTTAGTRCTTCAATTTTGCTGAGGCTGGCTTTGAACTTGCAGTTCTCCTGCCTCAGCCTCCCAACCCACTGGAATTACAGGTATGTGCCACTGTGCCTGGCCACTACCTATCTTTTCACAAAACTTATACTACACATTATTCTTTTTCTATCTTCAGCCTTCTTTTTTTTTWAAACTGAAGATTAAACATGCTGAAAAATATTTAACAAAACAAACAAAAGAAATATCTTTGCTTACAATTCTTACAGCTAAATGTATAAAATAGTGGGCATTTTCTCTTTCCATTTATTTACCTCCTGTTCACTCATCAATCTCTCCCCATCTGCCCCTCACCATATTGAGTTCTTTTAGAAATCACCAATGACCTCCACTAGCTTTTTAAATCCATATTATAAGCAGATGATCCATTTTCATTACCATTGGACACAGGTGATCTCTTTACTGAAGCAGTGTGTTCCTGAGGTCTCTGTAAACAGCACATACTCTGGGATTGCCTGTGTCTCTATTTCTTGCTCAGGCTTTTTCAGACTTTCATCTCTTTATTCATATTTTATTTATTTGTTTTTAGTATTAGGTATTGAACCCAGGGATGCTTCCCCACTGAGCCACATTCCTAGACCTTTTTGAGATAAGAAGTATCTTGCTAAATTGCTTAGAGCCTCACTAAATTGCCGAGGCTGGCCTTGAACTTGCAATCCTCTAGCCTCAGCCTCCCAAGCCTCTGGGATTATGTACCACCATATCCCATTCAAACTTCAGCTTCAACGTTAGAAACCTCAAATATAAAGTGTCTAAATACCTTATTAGAAACTATAACTTTAGTCACCTATTTTTCACATGAGCAACTGGGGGATCATTTATTAAATTTCTTTCTTTACCAATGCCTACAACATTCTATTTTACTAACTAACTTTAAGTATCCCTTGAATATACTTATTTTTCTCTATGTCCACTACCATCAATCCATTGAAATCACCAATATGACTACTGTGACTTCATAAACTGGTGTCCCCCAATTTTTCCTACTCTAATCTTTTCTATCCCTGATAGTCTATTTTCCATATTCAGCAAGAARGATCCCTTAAAAATCTAAATCCAATCATTATACTTTCTTGCTTGTAACATTTAATGGCTTTATATGGAAATAAAATTCTCAAACCTTCAAATGACCTTTCAACCCCTCGCCCTGCTTGGGCCATTCAAATTTTCATTCTTGTTTTCTGCACTGCAGTCTTTAGTTTATTTGAGTCATTCTTTTCTCAGGTCTTTTCATATATTGTGTGTGTGTGTGTGTGTGTGCACACGCACGCACACATTTTTTTTTTTTTTTCCTATTTGGGAGTCTCCTCCCCATAAGATCACTCCCTACCTCTTCCAATGTTAGCTAATCCATTTATATTGTATCATTTATCATTTATTATTTGATTAAGTTATTCCCCCAGAAAAGCCAGATTTGCTTTTCTTTTTTAGTGTTTATCATAAGTGTAATACATGAATAATCTGTTTTAATGTCAGTGCTTCTTGCCCCAACTCAAACCTTCCCCCATACTGCTAAACTGTTAAATCCATGAGAGCAGCAACACCATCTGTTTTATTCACGCATGTAATACTGCATCTGTAAGGTCCAGCACACTGCTTGGCATGCAGTATGTATCTAATAAATATGTGTAGAATGAATAAATAAATGAAGGAATAAAAATTTCATTCCAACCCTGGGATTCTGTTTATTCCAACACAGTAAAGAGCATTGTTAATGATAGTTTCAGGTTTTACACAAATAGAAGTAGGGAAAAAATAACAACAAAAACAACAAAAAAGAAACCCCAGCAATTAAAAATTGTTTWATTCAATTGTAGTTTTCTTAGGAGGGAGCACTCTTAAGAACTGGCTAACTCCTGGCAGTAAAGTTCAATTTGTAATTAACTATTCACAAAACACATCCTCAAAAATCTGTGAGAAGAGAGTATCAAGAACCTTGAAGGAGAAGGAATTAATGAACAAAATTTAACTTCTTGCTAGAGTTAGTTCCAGCATTCTCTAAACTAATCCTTGAGGCTCCTATTCCTCGGTTTATTTACAAATTGATTTGCCCTTTGTCCAAGTTAGAAAAAACTGAAAAAGTATACTTTACAAAAACAAGGAACAAAATGTCTAGTAAAGGTTTTTCATTAAATAAGCATTCTACAAAGAAAGTTCAATTACAGATTCTGTTTGTATCCCAAATTAGTAATTTATAAAAAATATTCTGAAGGAAGAATGAGAAAAAATTAGGAAAATAAAGTCAAATTTTGGTTGTACTCTGAAATATCCATCCATGGTGTTTAAAAACATACTATATCTTTCCCATAGCAACAATTGCCATCAATAACAAATCTATTTTTTCCTTTAATGTGGTTGAGCASATGCTTTTTTTTCTGGTATCCACAGTTAAATAAAAGAATGAAGRAAAAAACCTTCTTTGAATAAATTTCAAATTTAACCAGAGTTCTATCTCATATGTAGTGAATGGAAATAGTGTAGATAAAATAGGGAACTGGAATTCTTGTCTGCCATAGTGGGTGTGAGGACTACTGCTAACCATGTTTTAATAAGTATTGTTGTGTTCCTTCCACAACAAAAATGTAGGTGGCAAAGCTGAAGTTTTAGGCAGTAGATTTATGGATAACAGTGGTTTCTACATATCCACCACACTCTGATTTTAATGCTCACCTTGATCAGATATTGATTCATATTCTATTGCTCTAACTATGCTTCCACATGCTCTTGACCTACGTTACCTTCACAGGGATGTCCTCTTCTTGGCTTGCTTGCTCAGAGGTAAAGACATAGGAAATTTCTTTGTGAGATGTGTTCTGGCGGCAGATGGCACATTTAATGGAGCTTCTGTGAGACCCCACGCTGTATTGTTCAATAATAATAGAAATGCATTCATTACAGAAACAGTGTCCACAAGTTAGTACTGCCCACTAAAACAGAAAACACACAAAAAAACCTTTGTAAGATGCTATTAAACATGTTTTCAATCTATAAATACAACAAATGAAGTGACTCATGATTTTGCTTCCTAAATATTCTACAATATTAACATTCTATAAATATAAAATCCAAGTTGTACTTTAGAATTAATTATTTTTTGTCACAAGGGAGTAAGCTTTTATACTGTTTAGTTCTACTGACCCTACAATTACCATTATTTTGTAATAAACTGGTACTCATTTCAGATTTAGAAAAAATGCAAATTATTCTTACCAATCTAAGAGCAGATATTACAGTGGAACAACATTAATTAGAAGACAAAGTACTTAATATATCCTTTTCAATTTATTAATAAGATTTATAGTTTTGTATATTAAAGAATTTATATAGAAAATGAGATTAACATCTCCGATTAATTTTAAAAGTGGTTCTGGATACATTAAAAAAAAAAATCCAAAGAAAAAAAAATATTTTTCAGAAAATCCTTATCCTATTTAAAGAAAAGAAAAATAATACTCTCTGAATCTCCGGAGAATGCCATAAAGTATATGTACCTCTTTAGTGCTGTAGAAGAGCATTAGATTTAATCTAGGCGTCAACTCCAGAAGCTACAGTATTTTATGCAATTTATTTAACTTCTTTTTTCACCAAGTAAAAACAAAAACAACAAAAACGGGGTTCATGAGTACAAGGCTCCTTAGTTCTTAGTTGTTTTTTTCTAAGATATAGATATGTATGAATCTGCATAGAAAGAAAATACGTGGCTAGGTTTCCCCAACATACTTTGTAGAAGGTCTAAGAAGCTTCTTGGAAAAGAGTCAAACCAAGGGGGRAAAAAAAAATTGAGGGAGATAAGCCTGGTTTCTAAAACAATAATAGAAAAGAAAAGGGATTATTTTGTGTTTGGTTGGCTGATACTGTTCTCATTGCTTTTCAGCTGTACCTCTGCTCTCAAGGGGTTGTGTCAGACTCCTCAGGAGGCTGGGACAAAATTAAGGAGCTATCTCACTACGACTTCTGCTTGATACACAGCAGCACTATCCAGTACCTTATGTATCTGTAGTGCCACTGGCAAGAAAGGATACTTGAGAGAACTTTTGTGACTCTTGAGAGCTCAGAATAAATAAGTAACAGAGCAATCAAAGAGACACCCACATTAGGAGTCATGAGACTGACTGAAGTATCTGAAACATAAGAACAGATAAATGGCAATACTTCCTGAATCAGCAGATACAGATGAGCTATCTCGGACAGATTCTAATTGAATAGACCTAAATTACAGAGGGAGGAGAACTGGGAAACTAAGAGGAAAGGATAGAGTTCCCACAGATTGTGGGTATGAACAGAGTTCGAAATGTAACAGTTTTGCAATCCAATATGTTCTTCTAGGTGTAGGAGGCCTGACTTTCACAGGAAGTGAATGGAATAATGAATGTGAAAGAATTTAAAAACTGAAAATGTTAAAGATTAAAAAGGAAATAAATTTTTGTAGATAATACAATTGCATGAATATCATCAAAAACTAAAAACAAAAAAGACWGCTCTATGTTATGTTCCCTATCATTCCCCGTTTCTTTCTTGGGTGCTGGGGATTGAACCTAGGGCCTTGCACATGCTAGGCATATCCTCTACCACTACCCTGTACCCCATCCCTATATTCCCCCCATCTTTTTTTTTTTTTTTGGTACTGGGGATAGAACTGAAGGTACTTTACTACTGAGCTACATTCCCAAACTTTTTATTATTTATCTTGACACAGGTACCGCTACATTGCTGAAACTGGCCTTGAACTTGCAATCCTCCTGCCTCTGCCCCCAGARTTGCTGGGATTATAGAAGTGTGTCACTTTGCTCAGCCTCTTTCACTTTTATTCATAGTATTTTTATCACTGATTTTTGTCAGAAGTCATCAATATCTGTATAGTATTACAAGTTTCCAATGTTATACCTATCCTATTAAGATTTATAATTAAAGTTTCCTTTGAGAATCTAGCTTCTACTTAAATCTTRAAAACTAAAAGGTCCTTATTCCTGATTATTCCTGCTTAGAACATGGAATTTATATATTTAATTTCAGTTCCAAAGTTCCATAAAGGGGAGGACAGTGGAGGATACTTTTATTTGTTAAAGGTAATAGGCTTATGTTTAAAATGTTGAAAAGTAATGAACCTTCTGATATTTTATACAGTGATTTATCCTACTTAGGATAAAAATTTGAGCCTCCTAGAAAATAATTATATGGTGCCATCATGTCTATACATATTTGTTTGTAATAGTCACAAAGAAATGTACTTAATTACTATGGCTGCCTTCTAAAAAGCACATCTAAATTCCTGTAGAAGTGATATTATTTGCACTTTAAAGCCTGGATTATAAGATATTAACAATATTAAGTAACAGCTATGTTACTAAACCTCGGGACTACGTTCATAAGTAAATTTATCTGCGATGCATTATATTTCTGTACAATTACCAAATAACTATGGTCATCCAGCAAAATTAAATGACTTGGAAACAATTTCGTGTTTGGAAATATGTTCAAAATCATGAAACTTTAATACCCTAACCTTAAAGAGATGGGTAATACTTGTCTTTCACACAGTAATCATGAAAGAAAGACTGATTGACTGATTGCATATAGAAACCATTGAAAATCATAATCATTTTTATAAGTGTATGTGACATTTCACCTGYTTTCCCAGCTGTCGAGCACAGATTGGACAAGGTTCTGGATTAACACCTCCTGATGTTTTGTCTTGAGACTATGCAAGAGAAGAATCCAAAAATACATTAGTGACATTTTTAGACTTAAAACCTACCTGATAGATGCTTTTCAATTCATTTCTAGAAGTAAATGCTGGCAAATGCAATAAAATAATCTAATTGAGACTATCTAATATTTTATATATTACCTAACACTATCATTCCTAGGATTTACCAAAAAAATTTATTTAAGGTATGAACAAAAAAAAGAAACAATTTTTTATTACAGTTGAAGAAATGTTACTACATTTGTGATTATGGTAGAACATAAAGGCAAAATATGATGTAACTAAATTTTCAAAACTTTAGTTTTAGATTTTGTTATAAAGAAATATGAATTATTTAAAAATATATAATTTAGATTTTTGAAATAAATCCTCTTTAAAAATTATGAAGAAAATGTGCACTTGTAATGCATATCCACTTGGCATAGGATCAGAGACATGGGAAGAGGCAGCACATAGTTATATAACAAAACCCCTTACTAATACTACATGTTTCTCAGCATCCTTTTTCTAGTTGCCTTAACCCATTATGTTCTGGCAGCCCATATATAAGACACTTATATGTTGTGAAAAACAGAAATATTAATGATGTGAGATCTCTATGCTTGGAAATTATATCAAAATATAATAGCTTTTCAAAATTTTCTTAAAATTATTATAAAAATTGAAAAAATTTCAAAAAGTTACAAAATGGACAAATTATAAAACTGAGAAAAACATAAAAGAAAAGTAAATTAGAAAGATCACCAGTTTTTATATGTGGTTTCAAAAACCACATATTTAAATGTTTATAATAATCATCCTTTGGCTTACAAGTAGTGAAGCAATAACAACAACAAAAATCTAAATTGTGTAGATTCAGTATCTCTAAGGATTCAAAATAACTCCACTAAATAAAATGAGAGTATGCAGGCATTTATCAAAGGTGAAGAGCTGAATTATTACCTGATAATCTCTGTGTCACATAACTTGTAACAAACCACCTGAGAATGCAGAGGCTTAAAATAAACATGTAATTCTTATGACTCCACAGGCCACCTGGGTACTTTGGGGATGTGGTAGCTTGGCTTGTGCTGAATAGTCCTGGATGGCCTCATCCTCATTTCTGGCAGCTGGTGGATTAGCTGCCTGGGGGAACGCAGAACTGTGGGCTCAGCTCCTCAAGGAAGTTAATCTGGGCTTCTTCACATGGTCTCCGTGTTGCAAAGAGCAAGAAGATTGGGGAACCCTGATGTGCATGGAATTTTTAAGTCTCTGCTTATGTTTCAGGTCAAAAGTAAGATGACTAATCTAGAGTCAATATGGGAAGGGATTGCTTAAGGGCATATATAATGTAGAACATTTTACTGTAGCAATTTGTAAGCAATCTACCATAACTCATGATGTCACTTCTTTTCTAATATATTTGAAGAAAGAGTTGGCATAATTTTGTGTAAGGAGCTGGATTGTAAATATTTTTGGCTTTATAGGCCAATATGGTCTGTATTGCAACTGCTCAACACTGCTACCACAGTGTGAAATACAGCCATAGACAATGAGCAAACTGTGGCTGTGTTCCAGTAAAACTTTACTTATAAAAACAAGTACTGGTTTGGATTTGTCATATGTGTGGTAGTTTGCAGATCTCTGATTTAAAGTTGTAAGTTTCCCTTTTATTTATCAATTAAAATAAAAAAACAAATAATTAGAAATTTTCCTCTAAGAATACCTTAGGTGCATATTGTCACATATTTTCACCTTCAATTAGTTCAGAATAATTTCTAATTTCCATTGAACTTCTTTGAGCCATGAGTTATTTAGAATTTTGTTAATTTCCAATTTGGGGATTTATCTAGTCACCTTTCCATTATTAATTTCTAGTTGAATTTCTCCTTGGTTAGAAAATATATCCTTGCATACTTCTTATTCTTTGAAAATTTTAAGAGTTGTTTTGAATCAGAATTAAGTCAACTTTAGTAAAATGTTCCAAGCACACCTAAAAAAAAAAAAAAAAAGGTGTATTCTGTAGTTGTTGGGTGTGGCAGTCTGTGTCAACTGGCCATATTTGATATTCTTAGAGATATTTTGGCCACTTCTTTAAAGTGTATAAGAATCTTATGATAGTTTACCTCTTCTTATCTCCTTCCTTTGTGCTATCATTTGTTCTATATGCCACATATCCCACAACAGCCCTGTTGCTTTAGTTAATATTCTTTTATGTTTACTTACATATTTAAGCTTTCCCTTGCTTTTCCTTCCTCCTGAAAGTTCCATCCTTCAGACTTAGATAATTTGTCGTTAGCCTAAAGAATCTCCTTTAATGTTTGTTGTAATGTGAATCTACTGGCAATAAATTCTTTTAGTTTTTATTTAACTGAAAATACTTTACTTCACAATTTTTTTATAGGATATTTTCTCTAAGCTATAGAATTTTAAGTTGGCAGGTTCTTCTTTCAGCATTTTAAAGATGTCATGTCACTGTTTTAGTACTGAAAGAAAAGCATTTTTATTCAGTTACCAGTTCTGATAGGTGCTTGTCTACTGAAAACCATGAATTCTTGAATTAATATTATMAAAAATTATATTTATCAATGACCTATCAAGTCATCAATGTTTGATATAATACTTGGACTCCAATTCATAAAATGCTACGCCATATACCAAATAATTGAACTTTACCAGTATTACCATGTCTTATGATATTAGCTTTTTAAACTTATTTCACAGTTTCAAATAAACTAAAAATATATATTAAGTATCAATGAATGGATATAAATGTTATATGATAAAARTTTTCATTGAGAAGTTATGTTGTAACACTTCTATTCAAGGCTTTCAACCATAGTCTCTGTACATTGCTTTTCACCACATAGTGTATTTCAAATCCCCTGTATTAATTATAATTCCCATAGATATAATCTTCTTTGACGATCTGTGAAGCTACTGCCAAGATAGCTAGTGTTTCAACTCATAAGTAACATAAACAAAAGATGAATTTTAGAAAAGCTGTACTATTAATTAACAGGACTAATATTTTAAATGGAAAGAGTCACTAAAATAATTTATAATAATATAGTATGAGGAAAAAATAGAATCTTTTAAAAACAATACCTTCTCCAAATTAGTTAGGTAAAGAAGCTGACCAAGTTTTTTCTGAAGCTGTGATGTAGCAACGGCTTTATCATTTAGTAGTTTAATGCGATTTTGTTCTACCTGAAAACAARTAACAGAAAAGCTGCTTTGTTCTCTCTCAGAAAGTTAATTAAACTATTAAACATGATGTACAAATCTTCTCAATAATATAAACATATCCTGTTTTAGAAAACCCATTTATGTATTTAAACTCAAATATACAAAAAGTATACTAGATAATGTATTTTGAAAGGACTTCATTTTTGCTATATAAAACAAAATTACTGGGACTGAGGTTGTGGCTCAGCAGTAGAGTGTGCACCTAGCACGTGTGAGGCCCTGGATATTCCTCAGCACACATAAAAATAAGTAAAATAAAGGTATTGTCTCCAACTACAATTAAAAAATAAATATTAAAAAACAAACAAACAAAACACAAAATTACTGACAAGATACTGAAGTTAGATGGAAACCAACCCAAATTTTACTTAGGTGTATTTTTTAAGTAATACGTTCATGGAATGAAAAAAAATTAAATAATACATTGGTTTACATGGAGGGATATGCAGGGAAAAATCTCCAACTCCTGCCTCCAAATAAAATATAGTAGACAGAAAGGAGAATTCAAATAACAGGGAATTTGTTTCTAAGCAAAATCTTACTGAGAATTCATATTTAAAGGAGAGATTATAATAATGATTATTTTAAAGATTTACTAAGTTAGAATCTCCAAGTTTTATAGAAACACATACAAGGAATAAAAATAAATTATATAGAAAAGAATATTTTTAATGGGAAATAGAAAAGACTAGTGGAGTTATGAGAATCCTGAGATATAAGGAGGGACTTTAATTAGAGGATAAGTTGTAAATATCCATCTATTATTAGTAAAAGAAAGCACTGCAAAAGAAAGTTTTAAGTTATTGTTGAGTTTTATGATTTGTATATGAGGTAATCCACCAAAGCTCCTGTATTAAGGAAGGCATATTCAGAGGTGAAGTGATTAGATTATGAGAGCTATAACCTAATTAGTCTATGCTAGTTTGAAGGTGCTAACTGKGTGGTAACTATAGGCAGGTGAGGAGTGGCTGGAGGTGGTGGGTTACTGGGGGCATATGATGAAAGGGTTCACGTTCCCGGCAGCCCCTTCCTCTCTCTGCTTCTGGGCTGCCATGAACAGAGAGTAGTGCTCTTCCACCACACCTTCTGTCATAATGTTCTGCCTCCATTGAGCCCAGAGCAATGCAATGGAGTCAGCCCATCATGGACTAACCTCTGAAAATGTGAGCAAAAATAAACTTTATTTTTTGAAGTTGTTTTTGTCAGGTATTTTGGTCACAACAAAGTCAGGAGGACTAAAACACTAAGGAAGATTTTTCTAGTTCTAATAAAAGTGAGGTAGTATAAAACATACAAAAAGTGACCAAGAATACCCATAGGATATGACACAGAGCAAGTGCTCAAAAAGAGATGAATGCACAACTTTGAGAGAAATAAAATGCCCCAAAATAGTGACTATTAACCATGTATCAAATGTAAAATTGCTAATGTTTGATCATTTTGACCTACAAAGCAACTTCATATTGTACAAACTGAATACAGATTAAATATATACTCAGAGATCACTGCTCTGATTATATYTCTTCTGTGGGTCTTAAGACTATTATGACATCAATTTGTTGTACCATTTTCTGGGATTTACTCGCACTTTACCTCATGTGGTTCAATGATATGATGAACTGGTGGGTTTGGTTTTGGCTCTCTAGGATCTCGAACTCTTAGTCTTTCTGTAGCCATTGCAAGTTCATCAACAGCGGATACACGATTCCTTAGAGTCATCCAATATTCATGAAGCAACTGAAAGAAAAAAAAGACGAAGATAGTGCTAAATCATATAATAAGATTGGTTAAAAATATCAAGATGTGCCTTGAGTAGAAAGCCCTCAATGAGACCTTAAGACATCATCATTGTTTCATTAAGTGTCTAAGGATAAAGAAATTCTTTTAGTTATCTAGAATAAGAAAGGATGACTGAATAATCTCCGTGACGCTGTTTCTTCAAATTCTTAGGAACAGAATATTCAGATTTCTTGATAAGACCAAAGGGTTTTATAGATCAAAATTAGACTGATAAAATCTACCTTTTTTTAAATTAAAAAATATTTTCATTATATTCACATATTCAAAATAATATCTATATATGGTAATAAGAAAAATAAAATATACAATTGAGTATCTTCCATTCAATTTAAGAAAAAAAAATAATGCAAGTTCCTTGGAAAGCCTTAAATGTATCACTTTTCCCTTATATATTCCTCTTTCAATACCAAACAATGGAATAATCACTCTTCATTAAGAAGATTATTATTCCTGACTTTCYACTAAAATAATACTATAAATATGTATTCCTGAAATCTGGTTATATACATTTCTCAAATTAATAGAAATGACATCAATCAGTATAAAAATTTTGACATGCTTTTTTAGTAACATTTTGAGGTAAGATCCTGTTTGATGTGTTTAACAGTAGTTCATCCATTTACTTTTTTGTGAAATGGTTTATTCTACAAACTTATGAAGGAAATATACACAAAGATCTGAAGATATGCATGATAAGCAGTCCTCTGGACACAGAACATGAGGCCAAACGGGCCCAAAGGAAAGAGTACAGCAAGTAGTCAGACACTGTATAATAATGTGTTCTTCCATGGCTTATCATAATTAACCATTAATGTGCTTTGCATTTATAGTAATAATGTGTGAGGAAAATTATTAAACTGATAATTGTTAAAAAAAAACACAACCATTCCCCAACTTTTCAAATGCATGAACAGATATTTCAAATTTCTCTTTCTGTATAAAACTTTGCATTCTGCTTTAAAAATCAGGAACTTTAGATTAAAAAAATAGATAACATGGAAATATAACATTATAAATAAATGAAACACTTTTCCTTTCCTTACTTACATCACCTGCAAAGTAAGATAATGAGTAGCAAATTCAATATAAAGAATAATTCAAAATCAATGAACTCTAGAATATCAAGTATGGAGTTTTAATATAATGAAATTATTAAAATATGTACACAAAAGACATATTTATACTCTATCCATAAGAATGGTTTCCAACCTTGTAGCTTGAAACACATCTACTATGTTTCCTAATATTCAAAGTTGATGCTGCTGCTGGTTATTCAGAGCAAAGCAAAAACAAAACAAAATGAAACAAAACAAAAAACATAAATCCCACTACTCTAGTTTCATAGAATAGCAGAAGAAGATCAAGCCAAGAATAGAATGAAATACTTTTACAGCTAAATAAAAGGTTTCATATAAGTTTTAGTTTAATAATCTAGTAAGAAGAATTTAGGAGTTACTTATTATTCTATATTATAATAATTACATCTTAGGGAAAGAGAAATTATGATTAACCTCCAGTCTCTAAAGCAAACTCAGAAAAACTGAGGAGAAGGAAAAAGAAAAGTAGCACATACTATTATTGTAGAGAAGAATTTTTAAGTTGGGAGCAAGTTTTAGGGTCTAGTTTAAAAGTTATAAGTATAGTTTTAAATACTGTACCTTATATTCCTTCTTCCATGCTTCAAAGAGATCCATTGAAGTACTTCCTTCATCAATGAATTCAACATCAAATCTATGTGATTTTGCAAAGGATAGTATTGCTTTCATAGAACGTTCTGTCTCACTTATTGCCCAAAGACCTCTGGTGGTGGTAGGTACTCGATCATCCACAAGTCCTTCTTCATCTTCTATCATCTCCTCAAATATTGCAGTCTGACCTTTGACTCTGAAAATATATATAACAAAAACAAYAGCAACTATTGTCAATGGGTTGTAAGCATTATAGATCAGTAAAATTGGCAGAACGAATAGGGAAGCAAGGTCTGTAATTTTTCTATAACTCTCAATGTCTTATCTACAAGATCATGCTTGAATGTCTCTGGAAAAATAACAGCAACTCTAAAAATCCTGGAAGAATCAAATTTGTCCAGTGTTTCTTGAGAATAACCTGGAATAATAAAAATGTCTCTAAATTCCAGGTTATAAGCTTCCTTCTGAGAATTAAAACATAAACTGACCTACCATTGACATAGAAAAAGACACAAAACAAACCAATATGATCTAAAAATATATTGTCAATCAAATCAGAACTTATCCTTTCCTTAATTTTCCTGTTTAAAAAGGATAGATGGTTAAATTTGCTAATGCCAGGGCTAGATGTATTAAGGAGCTTAATCCCCAATACAAGAATAAAGGCTCTGCTGAAGAAAGGGTATTAATAATGAGAGTTAACATTTTAATAAGATACTTCCTAACCTATAAAAATGTACTAAGCACTTTGCTAAACAGTTATGTTCATTATATTTAATATTCATAAAATACAATGAAGGAAGAGTTGTCGGTATTTTCATTTCATGAATGAGTCTACTGAGGTCTAGAGAAATAATTTACTCATAATAGTGGGTAGGAATTTGAGTTCAAATTCATTATACTCCACAGTTTGGAATCTTACCACCCCCCTCATCTGCCCCTCTATTAATTACACATTGCTACATGACATGAATACTAACAAGTAATACCTACCTAGGTAAAACTGAGCATCAGCATGCTCAAAGGATCAAATGCTAAAGGTTTACTACATTGATTAAATAAAAGAAAAAATATAAGAAAAATCATAGTAGAAATATAGCCTTATAACCAAATACTAAATCTCATAAAATGTTTCAATTTTCTGATGGGTAATAATCAAACAGAAAACTTACGTGTTAGAAAATAGCTTCGATTCATACTCTGTGAACAATTCATCAGCCTTACAAAAGACACAACTGAAAAACAGATTATCAGAGAAAAATTCAAAAACATAATAGGTGATCAGATAATTTCTAAAAGAAGCTTGGTATTTGTACTTCAATTTTTCTTTATTATCATTTTGTGCTATTTTAGAAAAAAATTAGATGGCTTTTAGTGCATGGTCCTTATTTTTCTTAATAACACATCTCCTTCTACTTTTGTCTGAATTAAAATGAACAATCTTTATTTTTATGATTCATTATTGTCTTAATAAACTCTAGCTTCATGGAACAATGTCATTTACTGTATGATTTCTTTAATTACTTACCAGTTCAGAGGAAGTCTGGTTGGTCGGAGGTGGCAGATTGTTGCAGACTCAATGACATTTCGAGATGGAGGTTTCTCCAGGTTTTTTACAGCTTCTCTTACAAGTTTCTGGAATTTATTCAGCTCTTCCATTTGGGTTGTAAGTAAGAACTGAAGACCTCTGCAGTCATGGAATCTGATTCCCATCACCAGCATCACATCAAACACAAAGACAGAATGAAAGGTCAATTTTCTTAAATTCAGAAAACAGTTGCCAGCAAAGTATTAAGAAAATTGCGTGTAACATTTACCCGTCACACTTGGTTGAGATTTCTGTAGGAATATACTCAATGGTATCTACTAATACTCAAGATATAAGAATGTTAGGTTGTCTATACAAAAGGTGCCAGAAAGGTTCTGCCCACAACAAACACTTTTCCCACATTAGAGGGACACATTTTTTGGATTAAAACCACTGAAGGTGTTTTTGATAAAGAGAAACTTTAGAAAGAATCATTAGATTAATAGGCTGACTTATCTCTGAAGACCTTAAAGAATAGTACATGTTGACAGGAAGAAAGGGAGGAACAAGTCATTCCATAATATAAAACCGGGGCCCACCATGGCACTTGATGCACCGTGAATCACACAGGGAAATCATGACATCAAGAATGAAATTTTCCAAAACAAAATTCTATTTCAGAATTTTGCTTGAATCTGGCTTTGGGTATATCCAAAGAAAATATTTTAAGAAGATTTTTAAAACACTATAAAAAGAGAGCATTTAAAAAATGACTAAGATATGGGAAAAAAGGTCTCTATTTTAGACATAACTAATTTTTGTTTAAAATGTACTCCTAACAAAATGTAAAACCAGATGCTATAACCACAATATGTTCTGATATTTAAATGCATCTCCTAACACCAAATGATCTGAACAGCTGGGGTGATTACTCATATAATTATTCTATTTTATACCATTTTCTTACTTTTCTGACATTGAAAGCTTTCCAGTTTGTTGTTTGTAGTTGCTGTTTATTTCATTTCGTACTCGCTGAGCAAGTTCCTCGTCAATAGAAAATTCTATTGCTCTGTGGATTACATTCAGCCACCAAGGAGAATTAGAATGAATCTGTAAAAATCATAATATTGATCAATTAATTTTTAAAAAAATATTCATTATGTTTCCATCCCTGGAAAGGCTGATGTGAAAAATTCAAAGGAAGCCATAATAAATGCTATTCTCAAAGGAATTACAAAAGAGGAGACTAATATGCATAATCTATACACATTGGGTAAATGCCTCTTTTGAATATAGAAAAATAACAACTGTTCCTTGACTACCCTGGATGAATGAGAATTTATACAATATACTTGTATAACAAAGCTGAGTTTAAAAAAAAAAAATACTTTACCAAAATGAAAATCAAGTATGTATTCTATATAAATGAAAAGGTCAGGGGTCTCTTTCTTAGCATAACAAAGAAAACCTTCATTCTACTCTTTGACTAATTGAACTAGATTCTGCTGAATAAATAATCTACAATGACTGTAGCTAACAAAATTATATGCCTGAATATCAAATAATTATTAGGAAAAATAAAATGTGGAACAACTGATTAAAGAATTGATAAGTAAAAATATATCTGTGTAGACTTCTCTTCTGACTTTGCTACTGATTTTATAATAGTGAAACTTTAGAAAGGACAAATGGCACATAGTGTATAAGAAAAATATCTGTGGTTCTAATACTCTAACATCTTAAAAGATTTTGGAAATACACATCTAAGATCAAAATGGGGTTATAGAATTCCTTACTTTCCCTAAACGATAACTTCTTAGATATCAAGGTAAGAGAAAACCCACTAGAGATTAAAAGAAACAAAACAGAACCTCAAAATAATYGATTTATCTATGTATCAGTTCATTCAACAAAGACATACTAACTGTAAAATAAGGTATATGAGTCACGGTACAAAGTGCTAGGAGTTCCAAAGTGAATAAGAAAGTTCAAGTTTCTCCCTAAACAAAACATAAACCCAAATGATATCTGAAGACAAACACAAGCAAGAAACACTGCATTTTTGTAAGTGTACTTTTCTTTGGAGCTCTCGTATGGTCTGCTGCACAGGTTGTAAAGCTTGCTGGGCTTCGGCAACTTCTGTATTACACTTGCTCATATAATGCTCTCGTAGCTGTTTGGCCTGTGTTAAAAAAGAAAATAGATAAAAACTAGGTCTCAAAAAAATAATAACTTACTATGGTGAATTTAATTTTCTTAAAAAAGTCCCAAAAGACTTTTCCCTCAAAAAATATTTTTTTTAATTAGAAAAAAAGGAGAGGGCATTAATATTTCAAAGTATGAGGCAAAGGACACCTTTCAGAATTATTTATCTGTTTTAATATTAAAGTTTCTTAGCTTCTACAGTTTAAAAATAAAACTTGAAAATATACTGTAGCAAAGGTATTATGGAACTGAACTGTGTTACTCTCACATTCAAATGCTGAAGGACTAACTCTCAATGTGGTTGCATTTGGAGGAAGGCAAGGAAGGTTAAAGAAGGCCATAAGGCTGGGACCCTAATCCAATATGACCAGTGGTGTTCCTATGTCAAAAGAGAGATATACGAAGGATTTATAAGCAAGAAGAAAAGGTCATGCAAGGATGTAGTGAGAAGGAAGCCTTCTGAAAGCCAAAGAAAGGAGCATCAGGAAAAAAGAAACCYGCCAATATCTTGTTTTTTAACTTCCAATCTTCAGAACTAAGAAAACATAAAATTATGCTGTTCAAGTTTTCCAATATGTGGTATTCTGTAATGGAAGTCTCAGCAGACCAACACACAAGGGATTAAAACTTCTTACCTTTTCAAGAGAATAATTCATAAGTAATCAATATATTTTGTTCTTATAAATAGAAAAGTTCTATTCTTATAAACTCAACATGAAAAAACTTGTGAAAATTTTTCATTTTCTTGTATTCAAATACTATCAAAGGGTAGTATAAAGGGTAGTGGTAGGAAAACTGAAAAGATGACTAAATTGAAATTCTAATGCTTCACTCAGTAAAGGGTTGAGCCACTAGAAATTACCAATACTTGACCATTTTTAAAACAAAATGGCAATTTCATATGGCTCAACTGAATAATCTTTTTGGATTAGCCATTTCACTTCTCTAGTTTCAGTTACTTCATTTGCACAACAGGTGCTAAAGCAGATGAATTTCTAAAATCTTGTCCAGCTTTGAAATACTATGGCTTCATATTCAGTAAGAGTAAGACAGAGTAATAATGTAGCTTCCTTAGAAATACAGTTAAAGTAAGAATGCTCCTCCTTATGCATTTTTTCCTTTCCCTGTCAAAACCCTTTGATTAATTTTTATTATAATTCCTTGGCTATAATTATTTGGCCATTAGAGCTGCCTACTAACAGAATGGGCTTTCTCCCTGTAATAGCTTCCTGTCACTGAAGGCATTTAGATGAAGAGTGACTAATTATGTACAAGGATTAGATGTTTGTGCTGCAAATGATATTTCATTTGAAAATTTTCAACACTTAGACTACCATCAAACATTAAAACAGAATAGTGAAAAATATAGCAAAGGAAACAATGTGAAGACACACTCTACAGATTGGAAGAAAATATGTGYTAAATGTACAACTGATAGGGTGTTAATATCCAAAACATGAGAAAGGCAAACAACTTAATAGCAAGAAGAAAAAAAATTTAAAAAATAGGGCTGGGGATGTGGCTCAAGTGGTAGCGCGCTTGCCTGGCATGTGTGTGGCCTGGGTTCGATCCTCAGCACCACATACAAAGATGTTGTGTCCACCGAAAACTAAAAAATAAATATTAAAATTCTCTTTCTCTCTCTCTCTCTTTAAAAAATAAAATAGCTAAGAACCTTCTCAAAAAAAGACAAACAAATGGCTAACAGGTCTATGAAAAAGGTGTTTAATTTTACTAATCACCTGGGAAATACAAATTAAAAACATTTAATGAGGTATTACCTCATTTCTGTTAGGATGGCTATTATCAATAAGTTAAGAAAGTAAATATTACTGAGGATATGCAGAAAAGGGAACCCTTGCACACTGTTGGGGGGAATAAAAATTAGTATAGCCATAACAGAAAACAGGATGAAGATTCCTAAAAAAATTAAAAACAGAACTCCATGTGACCTAGAAATTCTACTWTTAGGTATGCATTCAAAGGAGAAGAAATTAGTAGCTCAAAGAGATGTGCATTTTCATGTTCACAGTAAGCATTATTCAGAACACTTAAGACATGGAATCAATTAAATGTCTATTTACCAATGAATGGATGAAGAAAATATGATGCATATATATACACCCAATGGAATATTATTCAGAACTTCAAAAAGATGGAATTCTGTTTTTACAACACAGATGAACCTGGAGGACATGATATTAAAGAACCTGGCTTATTAAATGAAATAAGCCAGACACAGAAAGATAAGTGCCATGATATCACATGTGGAATCTAAAAAATCAAATTCACAGAAGAGAGAATAGGATGATATTTGCTGGGACTGGAGACAAAAGTCAAAAGTCTCTGGAAGAATTAGCATAATAAGCTATTAATGAGCTACCATGGAATAATCTATAATATCACTGCTTTGAATGAAAGGCAACAGTTGTTATGGTGGAACTTCAGAGAAACACCATTGAAAATTTTGAGTTTATTTACTACYTTAAATAAAATATAAAGCAGATTGATTCCTAAGTGATTTTTTTAGGCTATTGTGAATGAGGTAGTTTTCCTAATTTCTCTTTCAGTGGATTCATCGCTGAGGCATAGGAACATGTTTGATTTTATATCATGCTACTTTGCTAAATTCATTTACTAATTCTAGAAGTTTYCTGGTGGAACTTTTTTGAACTTCTAAATATAGAATCATGTCATTGGCAAATAGTGATAATTTGAGTTCCTCTTTACCTATTTGCATCCCTTTAATTTCTTTCTTTTGTCTAATTGCTTTGGTTACAATTTCAAGGATGATGGTGAAAAAAAGTGGTAAAAGAGGGCATCCTTGTCTTGTTCATTTTTAGAGGGAATGTTTTCAATTTTTCTCCATTTAGAATGCTGTTGATCTTGGGTTTAGCATATATAGCTTTTACAATGTTGAGGTACATTCCTATTATCCCTAGTTTTTCTMGTGTTTTGAACATGAAGGGGTGCTRTATTTTGGCAGATGCTTTTTCTGCATCTATTGAGAGATTATATGATTCTTAAGTCTATTGATATGATGAATTATGTTTATTGATTTCTGTATGTTGGACCAACCTTGTATCCCTGGGATGAACCCCACTTTATTATTGTGCACTATCTTTTTAATATGTTTTTATATGTGATTTGCCAGAATTTTATTGAGAATTTTTGCATCTATATTCATCAGGGGTATTGGTCTGAAGTTTTCTTTCATTGATGTGTCTTTGTCTGGTTTTGGTATCAGAGTGATATTAGCCTCAGAATGAGTTTGAAGGGTTCCCTCCTTTTCTATATCATGGAATACTTTGAGGAGTACTGGTGTTAATTTTTCTTGGAAGGTCTTTAGAACTCCACTGAGAATCTGTCTGGTCCTGAGCTTTTCTTGATTAGTAGGTTTTGATGGTGTTTTCTATTTCATTACTTGATAGTGATTTGTTTAAATCATGTATGCATGACCTCTTCATTCAGTTTGGGTACATCATATGTCTCTAGAAATTTGTCAATGTCTTTGATGTTTTCTACATTATTGGAGAATTAATTTTTAAGATAGTTTCTAATTATCTTCTGTATTTCAGACATGTCTGTGTGATATTTCCTTTTTTATCAAGTATTTTAGTAATTTGAGGTTTCTCTCTTTTTCTCTTTGTTAGCCTGGCCATTGGTTTATCTATTTTATTTATTTTTTCAAAGAACCAATTTTGTAAAAATAGTTTTTTAGTTGTAGATGGACTCAATACCTTTATTTTATTTACTTATTTATTTTATGTGGTGCCAAGAATCAAAGCCAGTGCCTCACACGTGCTGGGCAAGCACTCTACCACTGAGCCCCAGTCCCTGGCCAAGAACCAATTTTTTGTTTTGTCAATTTTTTCAATTATTTCTTTTGTTTCAATTTCAGCTCTGATTTTAATTATTTCCTACCTTCTGCTTTTGATGTTGATTTGTTGTTCTTTTTCTAGGGCTTTCAGATGTAATGTTAGGTCATTTTTTCATTTACCTAAGATTTTTAAATTTCATCCTTGATTTCTTCTACTATCCATTCATCATTCAATAGTGTATTATTTAGTCTCCGTTTGTTAGARTAGCTTCTATTTTTTATTTTACCATTGATTTCTAACAACTTAACCAAAAAGGTGAATGACCTCTACAATGAAAACTATAGAACACTAAAGAAAAAAAAATAGAAGATCTTAGAAGACAGAAAGATCTCCCATGCTCTTGGATAGGCAGAATTAACACTGTCAAAGTAGCCATGCCATACTACCAAAATGACATACAGATTCAATGCAATTCCTATTAAAATCACAACAACATTCTTCATAGAAATAGAAAAAGCAATCATAAAATTCATTTGGAAAAATAAGGGGCCCAGAATAGCCAAAGCAATCCTCAGTAAGAAAAGTGAAGCAGAAGGCATCACAATACCAGAGCCTAAACTATACTACAGAGCTACAGTAGCAAAAACAGCATGGTATTGGCATCAAAACAGACACGTAAACCAATGGTTAGGGTTAGGGTTTGTCTTCTGTTCTRTAACAGAAGACAAAGAGACAAACTCACACAAATACAATTACCTCATACTAGACAAAGGTACCACAAACATTCACTGAAGAAAAGATAGCCTATAAAACAAATGGTGCTGGGAAAAATGAAAGTGATATGTAACAAAATGAAATTAAACTTAAATTTCTCACTCTGCATAAAACTCAACTCAAAGTGGATCAAAGACAGAGGCACTAGAAGAGAGACCCTACATCTATCAGGAGAAAAACTAGGCCCAAATCTTCATCATGTTGGCTTAGGATCTGACTTCCTTAACAAGAACCCTAAAGCACAAGTAGAAAAATTAAGAATCAATAAATGGGATGGATTCAAACTAAAAAGTGTCTTCTCAGAAAAAGAAACAATAATGTGAAGAGAGAGCCTACAGAATGGGAGAAAATCTTTATCACATGCACCTCAGATAAAGCATTAATCTCTAGGATATATAAAGAATCAAAAAACTTAAAACCAAAAAACCAAATAACCCAATCAATAATGGGTTAAGGAACTGAACAGACACTTCACAGAAGAAATAAAATCAATGAACAAATATCGATGAAAAAATGTTCAACATCTCTAGTAATTAGAGAAATGCAAATCAAAACTACACTATGATTTTACCTCACTCCAGTCAGAATGGCAATCATTAAGATACAGGCAACCATAAGGATGTGGGGAAAAATATACACTCATACATTGCTGATGGGACTGTAAATTGATGCAACTACACTCTGCAAAGCAGTATGGAGATTCCTCAGAAAACCTGGAATGGAACCACCATTTGACCCAGTTATCCAACTTCTTGGCTTATACCCAAAGAACTTAGAATTAGCATACTATAGTGATGTGGCTATGCCAAGTGTTTATAGCAGCTCAGTTCACAATAGCTAAACTATGGAACCAACCTAAATGCCCTTCAACAGATGAATGGATAAAGAAAACGTAATATTCATATATATTTGTGTGTGTGTGTGTGTGTATGAATGAAATCATGGAATTTGCCAGTAAATGGATAGTGTTGGAGAATATCATACTAAGTGAAAAGAGCCAATCAGAAAAAAAACCATATGCAGATACTAATTCACAATACAGGAGTGAGGATGGTAGGGAAGAATAGAGTTACTTTAGATTAGGTAGAGGGGAGTGAAGAAAGGGAAGGGAATATGAGAATAGGAAGGTTAGTAGAATGAAACAGACACTATTACTTTACATGTGCATGACCACAGTGATTTTACAACATGAACAGTCAGAAAAATGAGAAATTATACCCRATTTATGTATGATATATCAAAGTCCATAAATGCATTCTACTGTCATGTATAACTAATTAAAATAAATTAAAAAATTACAAGTAAAAATAAAAAAACGATAATATACAAAGTAGAGAAAGAACAAAAGTTTTTATATATACTATACTGTAGATGTCATGAGATCAAGTGTTCTTTATTTTTTGTCAATGCTCTTTCTATGACAAGCTTGTAAGAAAGTTACCTTGTTACATAATCTGCAAGCAGATAAAGCAGAGAAGAAAAATACTTTGAAATTTTGCCATTCTCTGCCACATGYAGTCACTGTCATAAAATTTTTAACACTGAAGCAAAGGAAAAATGATTTCATTTATTTAAATGTTGCATGCCCTAGGAGTATCAACCAGATAGAGCAGAAAGTTTGAAGAAAAAAAACTCAGAATACTAATTACCTCTTCTTCAAGCCTTCCATCTCGTAAGGTAGGAGGTATTCCTGGGTGCTTAGCTACCAACAATTCCATCAAGTTATGGGTAGCATGAAGTCTCTATAAACACACAACAACACATAATGCAGTGGACCTACTATTTATATGGTAAACAGGTACTAATACCACATTAAGATCACATCATCTACTTTCCTTCTAAAAACAATCTGAGTACAATTTTTTTTCCTGAGAAAAATTATATCAGTTTTAAATAATAATGTCATTAATTTTATATAATTAAAAAAAGTCTCAGCTGGGTGAGGTAGCGTATGCCTGAGGCTGAGGCAAGAGGATCACAAGTTCAAAGCCAGCCTCAGCAACTTAGTGAGGCCCTAAGCAATTCAGTGAGACTTTTGTCTCTAAATAAAATTTAAAAAAGGGCTGGGGATGTGGCTCAGTGGTTAAACTCCCCCCACCCCTGGATTTAATTCCTGGTTACTCCCCCCCCCAAAAAAAATGTTTCATGCAGTATAGCTATACATTTAGTAGAATATGTATTGCAAGTATTTTTTTTTCCTATTATACATGCATTTGTCTATACAGGGAAGTGTAAAATGTTCAGGAGAATAAAAAWGTCAACTGTACTAACTTGGTTCCTTTTCTCCTGAAAAATCATTCTGAATGAGTCTTGCAATTATAGTATGATAAAAATAAGGATAATAAAACACATAAGAAAACAGGGTTGTGACCTGGACATGTTGAGCTTAAGGGCTAAAAAGGAGAAGAGCTGGAAGTGAAGATGTTACAAAGATAAGAAGAAAACTATATTATATGTTATACACTTCCCATGATTATATGGAGTCTAGGTCTAGTTAGACAAAGGCTCTGAGAAGAAATAAAAGTGAAGGCAGCTCCTAGCTGCTAAGTTCTCATTTCACTTGGGATGACAGCTAAAGGAAAACTGATTTGGTGCTGGTAATTGGAGACTTTAAAAAGGTTCATTCTGTCTGGCTCAGATTATAGGTGATGGTATAAATTTTTGTTAACTTCTTCCTCACTCTTTATTTTATTTTTTAATTTWTWTATATATATATTTTTTAGTTGTCAATGGACCTTTATTTTATTTATTGATTCGTGGTGCTGAGAATCAAACCCAGTGACTCACATATGCTAGGCAAGTGCTCTGCCACTGAGCCACAATCCCAGCCCTACTTTTATTTTCTTTATTCAGGAGGAGAATATCTTTATATTTTCTCCTTCTCTCAAGAGGTAAACACACATGCTCAAGGCCCAGGTCCTGCTTTCTGTAATCTTATCCATGTGGAATATAAGTAGACTTTAATTTTTTCTTTCCCCCCTATACTCCACACATTTCTCCAAATGCCTCTCAGTGCATGGAATGTGAACATGTAAGTCCCAAGGTCTTTATTCTGTATGACAAAGAAGTCAATATGCCTAGGACTCAAGCCCAAATTTGCCATGATTAATAAAAGAGGTTTTTTATTCCCAGTTAACTAGATAAACTTGTCTAAGATTCACTGGACAGAACCAATAAAGAGAAATAATGTAATAACTGAAATATCCAAATCCCCCTAAAAGGCCTCGAAAAATTAAAAGATTACTGGATAAATTTTTAATACTGTCAGTTCCACTGATGAGTGTAACTCCTTTTCTTTCTTTTTTATTCACAAGTAAAGAGCCTGTGAATAAATATGTTGATGCTGATATGTGAAAATGATAAATCTGACCTACTCAGATTTATAATTTGAGCTATTTTTCTGATAGAAGTTATAGATTTTTCAGTCAGATTTCAGTCAAAAATTGGCCCAAGCAGATGGCATAGTAGTGATTCTCAAGCTTTCATATAAACAGAAATCACCTTGGTGCTCATTAAATGAAATGAATTGTGAGCTTCATCTATAATGATTATGACTTAAAACATTCAGAAACTTAATCTGTATAATAAATAAATAGAATATATGTTTGAAACCTTTAATTTTACTCACTTGGAGTGAATCTGTTTTGAGTTTTCCTTTGTGTTCCTCRGACGAACGCAACACTTCTCTGTATAGTTCTGCTGCCAAGGCATACTCACCTAAAGAATTAAAATATATTTAAAACAACAAAGTCACATATTTAATTCCCAGTGTCATCTGGTTAACTATCATCTAAAAACATCTATTTTAAAATATATAGTTTAATAATTATAATTTTGTGTGTGTGTTCTGGGGATTGAACCCAGAGCCTTGAGCATGTTAGGCAAGTGCTTTCTCATTAAGCCACATAATAGTCCTATAACACATTTTTTTAACTAAAGGAAACTGGCATGAATGATAGTCCCAGTATTAAAAAAGAAAGAAAAACAAATGTATTCACAATGTTTTTAAAAATTACACTGATAAACAAAGTCTGGATTAACATTTAATTTAGACAAATAATATTCTTCTTCTTAAGTTAGGGATGCCAATTAAAAGTCAATATGATTTGAAATTGAGGACAAATTTCTAGTAAWAATGCATTTATAAACAAATACATCAAATACTATGATCAATCCACACATAATTTTCAGGAAAAACTATCCTCCTCTCGATACTGTTGTTTTCAGTATTAGGTCAAAATAATCTGCAATTAAACTTAAAGATCTTTCCAATTTTGGTCACTTAAGTCTGACATATATGTTAGCTTTCTTTTGTTTATAATCAGCAGCTCATTCAAATAATGAAATTCAAAAAGTATCTATAGAAGGAYAGGATGGTAAAATATAGTCCATGGTTATAGTTAACCTTCTGCATTTTTATAGGATCTATTAGGTAAGAATAATTTTTACACTTCAATTTTTAAAAAATACTTTACGATGAGGGGATCAAACCTTGTGCATGCCAGGCAGTTACTCTACCACTGAGCTACATCCCAGACTGATCTTCACAGTTTTAAGCAGTTAAAAAAAAATCAAATTGTTAATATTTTGTGATGTATGAAAATTAAGTGCAATTAAATTTCAGGGTCCATGAATAAAGTTTTATTGGAACCCCACCATACTCACTCACGTACTGTCCAAGGCTGCTTTTGCACTATAATAGTAAAGCTGAGTTCTCAAAGCCTACAATATTCAGTCTGGCTCTTTACAGAAAAACTGTTGACATTAAAAGGAAAGATAAAACATTTCTGGTAGCTTGAATAAAAAAATATAACTTATTTGCTGCTTGGGGATTTAGAATTGGTGAACTAAATACAATTAAAATAAAAATCTAAGTGGCAAAATGATAAAGTAGAAAAAAAGGTGGAATCTCTCCACCTGTTCCAGTTGTTTGCCAAGAATGTTTTTTCCCCYGATTATGACATATACTAGCATTTTTTGCCTAAAACTTTGAACTATTTTTATGTATATCATATATTTAGGATGTCTTCGTAGCCACAAGCTTTTCTTTTTTTTTCTGACTTAGGCTTTTTAAAAAAGATTTTTTGTTTTTGTTCTTTTTAGTTACATATGMCAATAGAGAGTATTTTGACATATTACATATACATGGAGTATAACTTCCCATTCTGTGGTTGTACATGATGTGGAGTTACACTGGTCATGTATTCATATATGAACATAGGCTAGCCACAAGCTTCCTATAGAGATATATACACTTCAATGATTTTTTTAGTTGGTTCTCTTTTTTTGTTGTTGTTAAAGCTGATAAATATGTTTTAATTGTTGTAAAATATACATTGTTAATATAAAGTTTATCATTTTAACAAGTTTTAAGTGAATAGTTCAGTGTATTATATACATACACAGTGCTAAGCAAAACATTTGCTTTTAAGCTGTTGCTTTATATCTAGTTCTAGCAGTTACTTAACATAAAGCTTTCCAAAACATTATTTTCATAGTACTGCAGAGTCTACCAATTTCTATTCCCTTCAATGAGCAAGACTATTTTTATAATAGTAAAGTCATATAGTGTAGGAGTAATCATTCTTTCAGTGAGGTTTTWAWTTTWAWTTTTTTTATTTTTTAAGAGTCAATGGGTATACAGATTCAATTAGTATTGATAATATCATTTATGGTATCCTTCCTTCATAATTCTTTCTTCATAATTATACTTTTTAAAGAAGGTATAGTGACTAGATTATAATATAATYTGCTAAATTTGAACTATTCACTATAATACCTTTTGTTTATTAAAATGATATACTTTCTTTATGAAGAACATACATAACATGTCATACTCAATATATTATACAAATTTAAGTTGATTTATTCATAGCCACATGATGGCACTAACATTTCTTAGTAAACACACTAGAAGATTTCATACTGGTCAAGTTCATTTTCTCCAAAAAATATTTGTAGAAAGCACATTATGGGAATAACATCTGATGTTAAATACGATAGTCAATGAGAACCTAAGAAAATGCATTATATATTATTATGTATGACTGCATATAATACATGCAAATMTTTCTAGAATTTGAAATTAATTTTACATTTTTTTCACATTTTAAAAAGTGAAATCTTTGCTGACATCTCTATATTAGAAAAGTCTAAATCATGTCAGTTAAATATGAAATGCTCTTTTAAAAAAGGATATTGTTTACAACATACTATTAAGTAATACAAACTAAAAGCAGAAAATTTGTTATAATTCAGTTTTCATAATAAAATTCAATGGATATATCCTATGTTAATGAACTTTCTGATAGGGATTTCTCTTAATAATTAGCATTAATATGTTATAATTTCATACAAAGAAACACAAGGAACTCCAGAGAGAATGCAGTAAAAACTGAAAGGAGTAGTAGAGTCATTTCTGTCTAGCAACAGTACCGTATTTCGCGGAGCAGGATACAACTACATACTGATCTTGCTAAATCCTGACTGTTTGAAATGATCAGATGAAGAACCTTTTTTTTTTTTTTTTTTTTCTTTTTATAGCCCTAAGTTCAAACCAGGGAAAGGCAATAATAAAATCGGAGAGGGAGCCAAGCAAAAAGGCAAAGAGAGGAAATTCATTCACTAAGTTTTTTAATTATAATAACACAGAATAAGGAAAGTAATTTTAAAATGAAGATGGGAAAGCTGAAGTTTATTTTCACTACTGTAACAATCTGTAAGTACTATATCACTGCAATTAAAAAAATTTGGCTGTGAGTTTCAACCTACTATAGACAGCATAATAGTGAAATTTATAAATATTCTTTTTATAAGAAAGGCGAGATGTTAGCATAATAATAAATTATTGCTTGGTTTGAAATAAAAAGTCCAGGGCTCATTCTGTGAGTGATTAACTATAATGTTGAGAAAGCAACTAAGGTTATCTGAATGTTTTCTTAAATAAAATGAAGGTAATACTCTAATCATTGAGCAATTATAAGAATCAAATAGCATATATATGCGTGTGTGTATATTAATTGATTGGCAAATATAATGTGTAATATGATTTGCAAGTAGAAAAACAATCACTTGTCAGATGTGATGCCAGATTTTGATGATCTAAAAATATTTTAAACAGTACATTAATTATTCATATATTTTCAAAGATGAGCACACATAACTCCTCATCTGTGATAGTCATGAAATTTGAAAGTTTTAATTATAATTATTCAGGTAACTTGGCACTGGGAAAAGCTAGTATTAGATATAACATATATTTTCCCTATTTTTGACTATTTATTTCAAAGTTGATGTAAAGCAAAGTTTATTGTTTTTCAAAACAATTCTTTTTAAATAATGAATTGCCTTATTTACTCTTTCCCCATGAATTTTAAGGCAGAGATGATTTTAGATAGATGGCTGAAATACCAAATAGCCACAGGACAAAATTAGCAATTGAGCTGGCAATAATGATGATGATAATGATTAAGAATTACTAGAGAAAATACAAACTTGCAATCACTTGATAAATTTAAGATTTTCTAGTCAATGTCCAAGAAGGAAGATTTGCTACAAAGGTGTATGTGTTAATCTATTAGGTCCAAAGTTTTTAATTCTGCAAATATCTCAATGAAATCAACATAAGTGCTTTCAATTAGGTTAGAAGTCATAATGTAGAGGTTATAGATCCTTTATATTTCACACATATGAACGCTCTAATCGTTCACCTATCACTTTTCTCAAAAGAATATAACTCTAAAATCATTTACTTCAAAAGTTACCATAATGGAATATGTGTTGCTCAATTTAAGCTTTTAGGGGTGTCCCACATCTGGACAATGGGACTTAATGGGTTGAGAACAATACTTTCTGAGAGAGGCAATGTAGGTCATACTATTTATGTTTTACTATATTATCTATATTTTACTGAGTAAACTAAGGTTCAGAAATTTTGAAAAATATGCCCAAGTTCACAGATTACAATTGCAGCAGATAAGAAGCCACATCTTTTTCAATTCTTGTCTAGAACTGTTTCTACACAGCTTTGGAGAGTCCTTCTAATTCTACCCAAGAATGCAAGATAACAAGAAACATTTATCCAGGTGTGGTGGCACATGCAGCAGCTTGGAAGGCTGAGGCAGGAGGATCACAAATTAGAGGCCAGCCTCAATAATTTAGTAGTGAGGCTCTAGGCAACTTAGGGAGACCCTGTCTCCGAAAAAAAGGAGATGTAGCTCAGTGGTAAAATGCCCCTGGGATAAATCCCTAGGACCAAAAGAATAATAAAGGTAATAATAGACGCTTTCACAGCTCTGTTTCCATTATGCAGAAGAASTAATAACTAAGGACAGGCTAATCAAAGAGAGTTAGAACATTACTTGTATTCTATAGAAATTATAAATTTCTCTGCATGAYTTATTTCTTACTGGGTAAATGAGAGTAATGGTAAATTTTCTCTGTGACTGTGTACTCAATAGACTGGGGTATGAGAACCCTCACATTTAACACAAAAGGTTACTGGTGGAAAGTTGAATGAAATAACATTAATCATGAAATACCTTAAAACAAACTTTAACACTATGCTGAAGTTGTTCTCCATTCTTCAGCTGGTGATAAGTCCAAGACACYTGGCCCCTCACTTCTAGTGCTGGGTAGAAATGGCATACAGCACTGAGCCCTAAGAATACTACACACACACACACA